AACCGTATGAGTCATGTTTAACCGTGAATATTCCCAAATGTACGGGCGACGCAGTCCCAAAGCCTCGATTATCCAATAAAATTGAGCATCTCTATCGTGATACTCTGTGGTTCGTAGAGTGTGAGTAACATTCTCGATAACGTCAACAATTGGACAGGCAAAATCATACGTAGGATATACTCTAATACAAACAGATAAAAATAATCTATATATTGTATATATTTATATATATATAATTCTATAAAATTGTATTTTTAAACTATACTAATATTAATATTTATATTGTATAGCAATATTATTTATATATCAGTGTATAAAATAATTTATTATAAAATATATATAACTAATTTAATTAATGTTTATCTTAACATTAACAAAGTAATAAAAAAATATTAAGATATTTTATAATTATAATTATTTCAAATTATTTTAATTAATAGTAATCTTGCTAAAATATCAAGAAATATAAATACTTGTATTTGTTTCCAGTACGTGGATGAGGTTCTAATTTGCAACGATAAATTGTAGGATCGCGCATGCATCCATTTGTTGACTGATAATCAATCTTTGCTCTGACACAATATTCTTGGCCCTTCTCGGTACCACGTTTCATTTCTTCCCACAATTTCAAATTTTCGAAAGGGGCTGTAAAGGAATGCTATTATTAGAATCGAGTCAGAAAAAAATTAATGCTTTTTTCTGAAAAATTATTATTTACAGAGATCTCGATATTCAGATTTCAATCTTTTATCCCGTTGTTCTTTCATAAGATTCGCCGGGGTACAATCCAGGTATGCTTTTCCATCCTTAATTAATGTAGTACAATACTCTTGTAATATGTCAAAATAATCCGAGGTATGCGTAAAACGGTCAGGTTTAATTTGCAGTAATTTTAAATCTTCTAATATAGCTTCCTCAAATTCTACAGTCTCCTTCGCTGGATTTGTATCATCAAATCTCATGATAAGTTGTCCTTGAAAAGCCTCGGCGTAATATTGATTTAAGAGAGCTGCTTTAGCATGACCAATGTGCAGATAGCCACTTGCTTCTGGTGGAAATCTTACCACTACCTATGGAAGTAAATGACAAAAAATGTTTTAAAGTTATAAAAGCTTAAAAATCGAACTAAACTTTATTGTACTATATGATTTTACTTTGCCCATTTCTGCTCCAGGAAGATCAATAAATTTGCCCTCTTGTTTCCTTGTTTTCGTCTGCTTGACATCAGATTTTTCTTTTTGTAGACTTATAGCTTTTGGTTTCAAAGTTGACGAACAATTTTTTGCAATCATAGATATTGCATTATTGAAAGCAGGAAGCGATTCCATATGCTTGTACCATCTAGTAATATTACAATAATCTTTTGCATATGATTTTATATATTCATGACGATGCAAAACGCAAAACACATGAATATCAGCCAATGTTAATCTTTTGGTGACCAGCCATGTCCGTGCTATTAACACATTATTCAGATAGTTCAAAAGCTCCTTGTTTATTTGTTTATTTTGCAAGACTAGGGCACAGGATATCCAATGATCGATTTCTGTCCTTTCATAAGGACAGGTACCACCTAATAATAATAAAATTATATATAATAATAAAGAATATAGATGTATTACATTCACAGCAAGATATATTTTAGTTGGTTTTGACATAATATTTAACAAAAAAAGAAGCTATATTTAATATCAATAAGATATCTAGATTTTTTATACTTAAATAACCACAAAAATATTTGCAGAGTATATACCATAAAGTAGGGGATTTATCATCCTTGCTAGACACCGGGTAATTTCATTATTATATTGTCCCAGTAATTTGTCATCTTTGTCATACAAGCAAACGTCTGACTTATCATTCCAAGTTTTGTTCCACAATATTATTATATCTTTATTATCAGATTTAATTACCTCAGCCACTACCAGCACGTCTGTAAATTTTAAATTCAGATAAATGATATAAACAAAATCATCATGTTTTTATATATTGTCTTTAATATCGTTATTATGTAATGTTAATGTTTACAAATGGAACTTAATATATTATGTCTACAGCGATAACTAATTCATCTAATAGAAAAGATAGATACTAAAAAAAATTGTTAAATGTATAATTTAAAATAATAATTATTTATTGTTATAATTAACATTACGTTGCTTTATTTCACACAAGTTAAATTACATCATTTTATATAAAATTAGATTTGATTACTATTTTACTATTACATATTTTATGCTAAATTAAACTTTATGATAAATCTGCCAGAATATCAATATCTAGATGGCTACTTAGAAGTTTTAAATATTGACGGTTAAAACAAATTAACGTTACGATGGAAGTCTCCACTTAACTAGTTTTACAACATCTATTCAACATTTATTTTCGATATTTCACAAGGAATATATATAAGTTCAAAAAAACAAGTTGGGTACCAACACAATACCAACACAATACATTATTACGTTGGTTGCAAATGATGAAATTATTGAAAGAGTTTCATTTGTTCCTCAGTGACTTATTTATTTTTCACGTTCACTTAACATAACAATGTGACACGCTAAATTGCATGGTATTATGGTCGAAGGTATCTTTATTCATTGTTTATGACAAAACATCTGGGATAATTGTCCTGAATACCCGACTTGACATTGTGATGCAACAAGCATAAGGAAGCGTCGACGAACAGGGCAATACAGAAAGTAGGATAAATATATAAACTATAAAAATAAAAAGAAAGAAAATTAATTTTAAAAAAGGGCAAATTTAAACAGTCGCTCCAATAATTATCTTGCGTTCCGAAGTAGAATGTTTTAGAAATTAAAAATAAAAATGACGTAAAATTTGAACTGGACTGATCGCATGAATTTTACCTAATACGTGATCAACTGGGTTGAGGGCGATCTTAAACGCCATTGTCTTCGCATTCACTCTAAGAGAAACAGACTCAACACATCAGCGTGAATCGATTAAGGTTAGCAATCACACCACGCATTCCATGCGGATCACAACAGCATCTACAACAAGACTAAAGCCGGAAGTCTCAAGCCGAAACTGGAGGTGCTGGAGCCTGAAAGGCCGGTAGAGGTCGCGCATGCGCAGCAATCGTATTAGGTCTGTCGCGTTACTTGCACTTTTTGCACCAAGCATCTTCGTTTTCTCTCTCTTCGACGCGCGAATATATATTTATCTCATTTTAAGTGTAAAAATTTTTGAAGATTTCAAACAACGCGAACAGACCTATAACTCGCATTCGTCGCCCGGAGTTTCCTCTTCGAATTTGAACTTCAAAAACTTTTGTATGTATATCTTAGAACATTATATATAAGGTATGTATGTACATACATCAAAAATTCCAAAATATAATTAAATACATAATATCAAATTTATATCCACTTTGAGTTATTTTTATATCACTACATGTATAAAACCGAAGCCGTTGATCGTCGACTTTAATCCTTTTTATCTTATGCTCGACGGCGCTAGCGCTACAGACGTGCTTCACTGACACTAAACTGGCTCGCTATATAAACTGGCTCGAAATTCAATTAAAAAATGTGAATTTTTAATTTTAAATAATAGAATCTTATTTTTAAGACAATAAACTATCATTTAACTATAAAAAAATTGGAAAAAAAATTCGATTTTTTAAGCCTCCAAGGTGGATTTAACCCCTTAAATATTTTGTAAATATTTTTATGATCTTAGATTGCACAGATCATAAACATTTATTATAAATATTATGAAATATTTATTGTAAATGTTGTAGTAAATGCTATATAAAAATACTTATTAATAAGACATTACCCTATAAGTCCATAATATTATTTAATATGAAGTAATATTTTAGGCATATTCTTAGAATATTAAATGTAACATTTTAATATTTTACTAAAATTATATAATATTACATGATATTCTTGAAATATTAATGGAAGGTTATATGTCCACTCCTGATAATATTATATGATTATTAAAAGTAATATTTATTTAATGTTACTGTAATATCGTATAAACATTAAAAAGTATTATACAACGCATTTACTTTAATTTGTAAAACTGTTACATCTGTTCAGTATAAGTATACGTTTAAAAACTGAAAATGATTTTGGCGTGCAGTTGTAGAACTGGATATGTACTTAAAATCATGTTGAAACGTTTTTTTAGCACAAGATACAGCATAGACTGATAAGAACTTTTCGTTACTGGATTGTGAATTCAAATTGCACAAAATTAAAAATAATTAATATTTATTAATATTTTAATAATGTTACAGGAATATTAAAATATAATACCTAGGTTTATTATATAAGTGGACATATAACCTCTATAGAATACTCCTGTAATATTAAAAAAATATTTATATTTTCGAAATATTATAATAACAATGAAAGAACAAGGGCAGTAGGAGTCAAGCGCGAAAGATGTTGCGCGGGTGTGTCTGACACTGACTGGCCAACTTATCAGAAACCGGTTTTTGAAGTATTAAGAGTAATGTTTGCGATGCGGTATCTTGTGATCAAGGTGAGCTTCCTAACCATCGGAATAATTAATTATAATTTCAAAATTTTTTGATACATTAGTTTTACATTTTCTTTATTTCGAGAATTTCAAAATTTCTTTCCCCCTTTTTTCTTTTTTACTGCATTCTTATCTGGATTTAATTCTGGCATTTATACTCTCGAGGTGAGGAAGATCACCATGACTAGTTAATAATTGTTATATTCTATGTATGTGAATTTATTAGTTATCTCTGAAGAAGGCTCAAAAATGAGCCGAAACATGTAAGCGCTTTAGTAAAATAAAGAAGTTTCACGCTACGATAGTCGTGTTATTTGCGCAACATCTCCCGCGCTTGACTCCTACTGCCCTTGTTCTTTCATTGTTTTTTTATTTATAAGGAGTCTTAGTTAGGTTGATTTATTATACGTTATTATAATAACATTATTTTAATTTTTTTAATAATATTCATGTAACATACTAGGAGCATTTTGCGCTTATAGGATGTGCGGTTCTTTTTCTGATTTATTTTAGTCGACAATATCAACTAAATATTTAGTTCGGAATATAAAGACGCTTATTCAAATGGAACCAGACTGCAAACTTGATTTATCCATGAAGTTGTTAGAATTATCCTTTTTGCCGAATAAAGGTATCAGCACACTGTCGTACACATAATTATGTTATCAAATAATATTAAATACTGCATCACACTATATTACTTTGTCACTCAGAAATAAGTTGATGTGAATTGTCTAGTGTTATCGACGTTAATTAATATATCGATTTAACTAATAATTATTTTTAGTGAGATATTAAGGATGTATTATACATTTTTTAAATATTGAAAAGTTATGAAAAAATTACAAATTATTTTAGATCGCATTTAAAAGTCATACAAAAAAAGAGCAGCGATATAGAACCTGGGTTAAAAATTATTTCGATATAAGAAGTTACTTTTTTATCTGTGTATGGATATCTATGGAAATTATAACATAAAAAAACACATTTGTGAAAACGAATATAATACATCTTTAAATAAAAATCAGCCAGTTCATGATTTATTTGTCACGAATCGTGTAAAACACTCAGGCTTAATGAATTTTAAAAAAGATAATTGAATTTATAAAAGAAATTACCTTTTTCCTTTTATTAAATCGTTCAGGTTACCAGTTAAAATTCCAGCTAAAGCGATCGCTGCGTAATAATCATTGAAGTTTTCTTTTGTTAGTAGAATATTGGCAGCTTTTTGAATAAGTGTTTCAGGTACCACAATAATCTGATCGAACAAATATGACCTTATGTCTTTAAGTAAATTAATATATCCTTCATATACATTCTGGCTTGAAATATATGTTTTATATTTTTGTCTAACATTGCTGATTAAAACATCTTGAACTGAAGTTTGGACCTCCTATTAGGATTAAGATGTTACATATAATTTACAAATTTATTTAAAATATGGATACAATTGTTTTCATGAAACAAACTACGTTTATTAGATCGAAACATAAAATTGATCACATAATAATTTACGATTATAGAAAAGCACTTATTCACTTACGATAATTTTTATATTTGAATTCCATTGTCTGATAGCCATTGCAATAGTCATGGTTACTCCACAACCATCGATCGTCGTCGGCAATATCACTGCGTCAATTGTCTTTCCAGAATCTAACTGTTCAAAAATTTCTAGGCCCAAAGTGGCTTGCCCAATAATCATGTCTGGATGATCGTTCCTATTCAAAAAATGTCACAAAGTAATTTGATCATGAAAACAATAATATAATAAGATTATAAATACGTAAAAATTAACATTTTTTAAATTAATTACTTTTCGAACAGTAGAATGAAATCTGTCACATAAAGAAAATAAAAATAATTGATGGAAATATCATATTTTAACGAGAATGTATTTTAATTAATAGCGAATTCGATTGGAATTCGCTACTAATTAAAATACATTCTTCGAATTATAAAAAAAATATAGATTTTGTTTAACAACACAATAAACTGTATTGCGAATTTTATGATTTAATATATTTTTATATTTATATTAAATACACACATACACACATTTTATACACACATTTGTTGTTAAACAAAATCTATATCTTTTTTATAATTCGAAGTACTTGTTTTTTACTTTCATACAGATTACGTCCCAGTCGACACAAATTAAAAATAACATAATATCAATATTATAATTTCGTACTTCACACTATAACTATAATGCCATGAGTTATATATATTCTAGTATTACATATATATTCTAGAATGCGAAATTATAACATTAATTATAATGAATTATGTTATTTTTTTTAGTTGGGATCAATGTACGTCTAATATGCACTAACACGCACTTAATTAAGATTTTGTTAAAATAGAGTACCCGTCAAGATAACATAAACCTTTTGTCCTGGCGGTTTGCAAAGCGATATTATGTGCTTCTACTATATTGTCACCCCGAACAATTACTGTTGCTCCCAGATATTGACACTTATCAACTATTTCCTGTGCCGTTGATTTCTGCATCACTACTGTTACTGGTATTCCAAACTTTTGTCCAAAATAACAAAGAGTTTGAGCGAAATAGCCCGTTGAGATTGCTATGACACCGTTGCGTTTCTGCTTGTCGGTTAGCTGTAGCAGAGTGTAAATCACACCACGTACTTGGATGCTATTCATATGTTGATCAATCTCTTTCTTAAAATAGACATGGACGACTATGTTTGTCAATAACGAACTCTGAATCAATCAGATTAGATTCGATTAAAAATCATCCTTAAACGATTTTTTATAAATGTTTTGTGTTATATAATACATGGATCAAAGTCATACACATATACGATATTCAATACCAGTCAAAAGTTTAGACTTATATGAAACGGTTGTAATCCAGAAAAAGACAAAAATATATAATGTACAAAAAATGTATTGCATGTAAAGACTACATTTGAACATAATTTAAACTTTTTCTTAAGAAAAATTTGTAACAAAAATAAATATTTTGTAGTAATCTGATTTTTAAGTTTTGACACAATCATACTGATAATATACCTAATACATGTACTTTTCCAGTGAGAAATGATCGTGAATCGACGTCGAATTGACGTCGAATTCGGTTATTTCTCACTAGATTCCTCTGGAACTTTTATTACAGCAACACAAATTTTTAACATCCTTTTTATTAGTTTAAATAATGTTTCCACTGGAATAGCCTCCTAGGTAGTTTTTAGAAGAGCTCAAAGAACGTTATTTCATTCTTTGGTTGGATCCAACTCTCCGACCCAGCGACTGTTTTATTATAAAGCATATATCCTAACAGCCTAAAACTTGCAGCAATATTACACATTGCAGTAATATTGCTACAAATTTTGTGTTGTTGGGGTATCATTTCCGTTATATCAAACTCGCTTTTGAACGAATAGTGGAAAATCCGGTGCGTCCAAACTTTTTTGACTGATATACAATATATAGGGTGTCCCACCCCTGGTAGCAAGCTGACGTCAAAAATAACGTCTTTTGACGTCAAAATGACGGCCTTTGACGTCAAAATGACGTGTGTTACTACCTGGGACGGGAAGGTGTTGAAACTAATCAGCTGTCATTTTCGAAGGTATTCACCCAACAATAAAATGTCTAAAATCGGGTCATAAGACGTTTTTTACGTCTAAAAGACGACTTAAAGACGTCTTATGTCACAATTTCAGACTTTGTGTTGTTTGGGCAGTTATTGAAAAAACAAAAATTGCGCTGAAAAGAGGAAAGTCTGCAATTTTTAATGAGTATAGATAAAATTTAACAAAATGTTTGTGTATCAATTATAATAATTTTATTGATCAAAAATATAATCCCAAGGAATAATTTTTTCGGAGTGAACATCATCTGAATTTGTACAAAACACAATTTTTGTTACGAAAACTCATAAAAACTTTTTCTAATATATCGTTTTTAATATTGCTAATAACTTTTTAAATAGCTGCTACTAAATCTGTTTTTCGATCTTATCTGCGGTCTTAAATATTAATCTCAGCGTTTACTTGATTTTAGCATATTTTTCATCAATAAAATTAATTGATACACAAACATTTTGTTAAACTTTATTTATACTCATTAAAACCTGCAGACTTTCCTCTTTTCAACGCAATTTTTGTTTTTTCAATAACTGAATACCTTCCCGTGGGACACCCTGTATATATATATATAAAAGTGTAAATATATATACAATAATAAATGATTTATTATAAATATATATATACATATATACTATATTTGCGAGAAACACAAGCAAATCATTATTTAAAGTAATTTATAAATTGGATTACTTTAAATAATTTATTGCATACAATTTATTTCAATCTGTAATTGGATTAATTTTAAATCACTTATTAAAATGGGAAATTATATACATTTGCATATATTTGATATTTCTTATTTTTTAATATTTTGATATATTATTAAGATATATTAAACTTGAAACTATTGAAGTTTTTAGACTTTGACAGTGAAGTATTTATATTCTTTGAACAGCCAATTTTGCTTAAAATTTGAAACAAAAAACAGTTAAATTAAGAAAGTTTTATGGAATTAATTACTTCAAAGAGTGGTGTTTTCAAAATATATTCTCTTATTTGAAATAGTGCCTGTTTGATGTTCTCAAACGAAATCTCTTTTTGGCTTAGTTTCTTTTTCTGTAAGCCCAGTTCTGCTATAAACTATAAAAAAAGTATATTAGCAAACTTATATTTTTTCATGTTTCATAATTATTACTCCGAATAGAATATTTGTAAAACAGAAGGAGAATATTATTCTCGAATTTTTTATAACTATTTTCGAAATATGGAAATATTATCATACGTACACATTGGTGTATGTTATGGAATAAGCAGGGTTGGGTAGTGCTAAATTAAAAAGATAAAAGTTAAGTTAAAAAGTTAATCAACTTTAACTTAACTTAGTTACATTTTAGACTCTTAACTTTTTAATTTAATTTAGTTACATTTTACCGGTAACTATTAACTTTTAATTTGATTTTTTTTTAATTAATCCTCAGACACAATGCAAGAGAATAATGAGTATATAATTTAGTAATTTTATATTATATAATCGTTACTTGTGAACAAAAATAACCAGATTCTTTAATAAATATGTGAGAAAGGAAAAATACGAAAAATTATGTAAAATGGTCAAAATTTTTTTTTTGGTTGTTCGTTCGGAACAATTAACTTTTCAATTACTTTTTTTATTAACTTAACTTTTAATTTAATTAATTTCATTATGGATTAACTTGTATTTTAATTAAGTTAAATTTTGAAAGCTATTAACTTTAACTTAACTTAGTTAAAAAAAATAGTTAACTTACCCAACCCTGGGAATGAGTATTTAATTTTAAAACTGATTGATTAAATTTGCAATACCCAAAAATATCTTCTGCCTGATATAATTCGTCGAAATAGTGGGACAACTATAATATAAGAAAATGGGCAGACATTCTCTTTCATTGCCTTCCTTTCCATTCTTTTTTATTTCTCAATGGACACAGATTTGGAAAATAAAAAGTTACTTGTTCGATGAAAATCACTTGATACGTAATTGCAAGTAATCTGCAGTGTCAAAGAATAACGTCAAACTTGATTTGGCTCTCGTCAGAAACTAATCTCTTCTTTGTCGAGAACAGATGTTACTTGTTATTATATTTACAACTCATCTTTCGACCTTTCTCGAAGTTTCTGTTTTTTTTTTCAATAGCTATGTCATGTTTATGATATATATATTATTAATACATATTACACGTAATTCTGCACAAATTTCTAACGAGTCTAGTTAATTAGACGGAAGTAAATAAATGACACTGTCCGATAAAATTAAAGATTTCTAGCATTGTATTTTTATAAAGAAAGCATATATATCAAATACAGAAATATTAGTATAAAAATGTTAAAAAATTATTTTAGTGTCGAGTACTTGGTTGAGACATCGTTGTTAAAGTTGTCCACAAGTCATATCGGGAAAAAATATTTTATATAATTATATTAAATTATTATATTACATTATATATAAAATTATTAAATTATATAAATTATATTAAATTAATTATTATATTACATTATATATATATATTAT